AACAAACAAAATCCTGTATATATCGTGCTTCAAGGGCAGAGTTATTTTGACTTTTTTTATGACCTTGTGATCTTGAAAACCCGGTCAAGCATATAGTAGCTGATCGAAGGAGACCTCGTCATTTTGTAAGCAATGTATCCACGACTTCCTTATAGTTTCCTTTGATTTTTTCAGCGGGGTAATTATCTGGGGCTAGAATGTTATGTCATCCCTAAGCTGAATCAGTCTGACGGTACGATGTCGAGGCTCACGGGCACTTATTAGATACTTAGGGACTATGTGAGCGTTTGGTGGAGGTTTAGGTCATTCTAGGTCGACAAGTCTTCGTGTTGCTCACTGTTTCAAAGTGTTTGTTTACACAGCTAGTAAAAAATGATTGCAAAATGTTATAGCTTATTTGTTCTCGTGTTTCTGCATAAGCTGAGTAATTCACTTCCACGTATTTTGGTATATATCGTTATCAAGTAAAAGGCAAAATTTGTGAATGGAGATAAGGATTATGGAATTATGCCACAACGACGTTTGCTTACTTGAAGACTAGTTTGTTCCTTTCTGCATTGAATAGGCCCTTTGCAGGATCTGGTCACATGGTACGGAATAAATTACGCTGGGACGCAAGTTACGCAGTGGGACTTCCAAAACAAAGGAACTCGTACCAGTCCAGCCCGACTTTCCTTTGTTTTGGAAGTCCCACTGCGTAACTTGCGTCCCAGCGTAATTTATTCCGTACCATGTGACCGGATCCTGCTAAGGGCCTATTGGTTTGCGCTTGAAACTGATTTGAGAGAACGTTCATTCAACACAATGGGTAGGTAATGGTCTCAAAATCCTGTATTTCACCAAGACATGAATACAAATTGCTTCAGTGTATCTTGGAAAGAAATGTTGAAGGCTTCATTTTAGCTTCATTTTGGTATTTTGTTTAAAGTAATAGACTATTTTCCTGTCAAACGGTGTTGTTAACAGCATAGAAACTGAGTCAATGGTGTTTGGTGCACGCACGCACCAGGAGACAGTGTAAAGCTTGTCTGTACCCTCCGTCAATTACGATTACAACAACATATTCCTGTAAATTTGCTTCGGCTGTTTGCTTGCGGTGTTTAGTGATAAAGGGTGTCTCTTAACCGTTTGACACCCAAGAAGCCTACGGCTACTTAATGGTCGTGCTCTTTGTACCACTTGTGACGTCCTCAATTTAAATGTTCACCAGATATTCTTGATAAGCAGATGATAGAGCTAGGAAAGAACATGAAACGCCAAAGGTAGCGAGAGTGAAAGGGCTGAGAAAAAGGAAAGGAAAAGGGCAATAAAAAAATTCGGAACGGGCAATCGCAAAAACAGTCCAAATTTTGGATTATGCGCATGCACCAAATTAAAATATTCTACATTTTTGTACCTAATCTTAGGGAAATCTATCTGTTTGGTAAAAAATAGCTTTGTCAGCAAAACTAAAGCCCATTTAGCGTCATGGCACCCAAAAAACTGATTTCATGGTTTAAAATGGTATGTTTTTAGTGTACATTTGGCCGTCAAAGATTTAATTAAGCAAAAAGGTGAAGAAACTTTCGCTCTTTTAAATTTTCTTTGTAAATGTGTTTTAGTGAATTGCTTGCTTTGAATGAAAGCAATCGTTAGATTATTCGATCAGTTTTCAACCCAATATGCTATAACAACGGGGTGTTTGGGGGAGGGTATGGAGTGTTAGCACTTTTAGAGTGATGCCAGGCAACTGGTAGACGGCTGGGCTTTACTGGTTCACACACACGACTCAACTCGCACGTATGGCTCCTGGTAGTCACCCTAGACATGGTGACGGCCACACCCCGGGCAACAGCATTGACCTCACGGCTAAACTACGTGCGGGTAGCCAAAATCCATCGCTGTCCCCGTGTTCTGTCTCCGCTGGCTAGACAAAATCCAATCCCAGCATGGCAACAGGGTCTGTCAGGGATATGGGACTCTAGTGAGGTTGGAAGGGCAAACCCCCCAGTCAGTGGATTTAATTGGTTACAGAAACGTCCAATGTTGTTACCAACACCGCTGTGCCAGCACAGGTAGAGGAGGAGGTGGTAGATTTTGTTCACTCACCGGATCGTGTCAGAAGGAAGCAACGAATGACGCGGCGGCCGCGTGTCGTGCAAAATAGATTTCAGCCACTCCACGAAGTGATGAAAGACCAACAACAAGACGAGGAAAATGAACACCACAATTCACAATGCAGTGCTCGAAATTAGCGGTCGTCCAGTCGTCCGAGACGACCAAAAAGTTTACCAGGCAACCAATTTTTGGTAAAATCAAGAGGCTGGTTGCCTCACAGGGAGCATACAATCTTGTTGAATAGGAAGAGAGTAAATAAAGGAATGAAAAGAACGAATAGTTTACTTTTGTCTCCTGTTGTTATTTCTTCCGCGACCTTACAGAGAAAACCGCTGCTTCCCGCGTAGTCCCGCGTAACACTGTAGCGTTAAACTCGTACCTAGACTTTTTCGCGCTCTGCAGAAAAAATTGTTTTGCTTTACATATAACATTGACAAGGGAGGCAACTCTTTGCCCAAACATTTTGAACGCAATCCGAACATTCGCTCGAATCTCTAAATTTCCTTGCTTCCACGAAAACAAACAAACACAAAACGAAGTCGAAAGATTTTTCTCCAACTTGGCCGTATTTGTTTTCGAAAACGTTCACGACAGTCGGAGAATTTTAGCGTCTTTAGCAAAGTTTTTTTTCAAATCGCTTTTCGCAACATGATCGTATCGTTGAACCGGTACCAGTGACGTCACCCAGCGCGCGCTCAAGCTCCTCTCCTTCCCCAGCTCTCAACTTTAAACGCGGAATCTCGCTAAAATGCTTCAGGTATTTACCCGCGGCATTTCATTTCCGTGCGCAGATCGGGCGACTTCGGACACGCATGAAAAACTGCAAACCGGGGGAGGGGCTTGTAAAGTTTTCTTGTGTTTGTTTGGTTTCGTGGAAGCAACGAAATTTAGAGATTCGAGCGAATATTCGGATTGCGTTCAAAATGTTTGGGCAAAGAGTTGCCTCCCTTGTTAATGTTATACGTAAAGCAAAACAGTTTTCTTTGCAGAGCGTGAAAAAGCCTAGGTACGAGTTTAGTGGAAGGTGATCAAGGAAGCATATGTAGATACATGAGACAAAGTCTTGGGTAAAGCTAGTTCCAAAAAAAAGAGCTGGATCACTTCAGATACCTGGAAGAAAACAGACGAAAGACGAGATTTGAAAGGAAAACTTAACCAAGCAGTGACTGGGCAACAAAAGAGACAAGCACAGAGAGAGTACTCTGAAAAAGACAGGGAAGTCAAAATAAGTTGCAAAATGACAAACAAACGAACTTATGCCAAAAACTTGGCCAGAGAAGCAGAAGCAGCAGCCAGAAAAGGAGACATAAAGACATCTCTGTAACATGGTTATAGAAGAACAAAAGACCGCCCAATACTGGAAGCTTTCTCATCAAACTAAATAGTCAACTTGAAGAATGGCGTGATCACTTTGCAACAGTACTTAACAGGGACCCACTTGAAGATCCCCCCGAGCCACAGACCAACCAATAACTATCAACAACTACCAAGGAGGAGACAAAGCGGGCACTGACCAGATTAAAAAGCGGAAAAGGTACGGAATCAGGCAGCATTCCACCAGAAGCCTTAAAAGCAGGCGGTCAGATGTGAATTGATATACCTCATGATCTGTTCAATACTACCTGAACAACTGAAGAGATTCCAGAGGACTAACGGAACAGGCTATTAATCAAACTGCTAAAAAAGAGAGATACCAGCGACTGTGAGGAATTACTCTGCTGGCCATGAAAACTACGCGAGAAGCAGGCAGGCTTTCGAAGCGGAAGGTCTTGCGCAGACCAAATTGCATTCAGCTGCCAAGTATGGGATCTCTAACGGAGCCCTTCGAAGCGACAACAGGCGCCCAACAGTGATGCCTACTTTCACCTCTCCTATTTTTAGTGGCGTTAGACTGGGTGACCAAAACAGCATTTAACAGACCTAGGGAATTCGGTAGACGATGACTCAGAGGCTGGAGGACCTTCACTTTGCCGACGACATCTGCATGTTATCGCACAGGCTTCCGGACGCCAACAACCAAATGGAGAGGTATCAGTTAACCATAAAATGGATGTCCAATATCAAAGATGTACGCTGTTAACAGAGGCCGCATGTCCTATTCGCTGGAATATGACCGCCATATTGTGTGACGTTGTCGTCGTCGCGCGTACGCGCCCCTGAGCAATTCCACTAGCCATTTTTACCATAAGAAAAGAGTTCCATGGATTTCTGAGTATGGGGCTCCGCTTGGCGGCCCTTCGGGCCGTTGGAGCTCCGCTAAAAATGGCTAGCGGTATTGCTCGAAGGCACATTCGCAAAACGACAACGACGTCACAAAACACGGCGGCCATACTTCAGCTAATAGAGACCTTAAGGTCATTCCCCAGTATTGCATTGCGCATCCTTACTGCGCATAATGTATGGCGTCATTAGCGCGCGTTCGTGCACGGGCACATTGAAAAACATGGCGGATTTGCCTTGATATTGAGTTCTGTCAGTTGAAAAATGGCTATAGCTCACTACCGAGCTCAGGCACCCCAATCATTAGCTTTGCGTGAGAAAAGACTGATCTGATTTCTATTGTTGAAAATTGAATAAATAAGGAAAATAGCAGCAGCACTGTAGTCTATCTATTTTGCAGTTTGATAGCCGTGGCAAGCAATTTGGTTCCAATATTTTAACAAGGATTCAGCTGTTTGTGAAAATCAAACTTAAAAAGTTTATTTGTGTCCGACGTAATTATTGACTGTAGTTTGAGGCGTGTTTTCATGAGTCTGGGCTCATGCACAAAGAGTTTACAATAACTTGGAATGCGTTCATGTAATAAGCATTAAATAACACTAAAATGGGACATTTTCAGTGCCTCACTGCTCCTTAACGAGCATGGGCACCTCCTTTTTTATTTTATAATTAAAGTTCTTATATGATAAATATTCATTGGACAAAGTTTGAACAAAAATCTATGTGCAGTTTTATTTCAGGGGAATTACCTTAAGCAAATACTTGAGGCAGTTAGGTGTAGGCGGCGATGGCTGCGCGGAAGTTGGGTTGAGTCCGCCTCCTCTGGCGCGAAATTAGAATATTTAAGCCTTCCTAGAAGCGTCGGCGAGCGACGGCTGTTTTGCTTTCGTTTTCAGTGGTCGAATTTGACTTTGTTCGTGGATTTTACGAGCATGATGGCAACTTTTTGAGAAGTTCGAGACCTTCTAGCTGTTGCATGCTTTGAGGACATCATAGACGAGAATGAATTTCTGTTGTTGTGGGATTTACACACGTCGAAAAATCTTGACTTTCCTTACGAAGACTACGGCCGATTTGACGTGGACAAGATGGACGATTCAGAGTGTTTAGCAGAGTTTAGAGTCAAGAAACGCGACCTTCCGGACCTAGCTGCTGCCTTGCAAATACCAAATCAGTTTGTGTGCCATCAGCGGTCAGTGGCCGATGGAATGGAGGGACTCTGTATGCTACGCCGACCACTTTCATATCCCTGCAGATACTCAGATATGATAGCGCGCTTTGGTCGGCCGGTGCCTGTTATGAGCATGGTCACAAATACTGTGCTGGATTATATCTTTACCACCCACAGTCACAGAATACTACAATGGAACCAAGCTATTCTGCGACCGGCACAGCTTCAAATATATGCTGATGCAATCTCATTAAAAGGAGGAGCATTGAACAATTGCTTCGGCTTTATCGATGGAACTGTCCGGCCAATTTGCAGACCCGGAGAGCACCAACGCGTGGTATATAATGGCCATAAACGTGTTCACGCGCTGAAGTTTCAGTCCATTGCTCTTCCAAATGGACTCATCGCTAACATGTACGGCCCTGTTGGTAAGTATATTTGGTACTCAAGTATCTTGTTTTTGAGAGGGCGTACCCTCCTCTTTGCACAAAAAAATGCAGTACATATATGGGATAATTTGTAACAAAAAGAGCCCCCTCAAGCAAATCCTAGCTGCAGCCTTGTTTTGAATGTCAGTCAACCAATCACTTTTTTTGCTCACCACTTTTTATGAAATAGTCAACATCACTAGGGTGTGGCTCATTACTTTTTCACCATGATTACAAACTAAAAACACTGTAAAATGCTCTTTTTTGCAGAGGGCAGGCGGCATGATTCTGGGATTTTAGCAGACTCACAATTACTGCCCCTCTTGAATCATCATGCATTCTTACCAGGGGGGCAGCTTATGTGTATTTATGGGGACCCCGCCTATCCCATGAGAGCTCATCTGATCCAGCCATTTAGAGCCAGGGTGTTGACTCCTCAGATGCAAGCATTCAATACGTCCATGAGCAAAGTTAGAGAAGCTGTAGAATGGTTGTTTAACGATGTTGCCACATCCTGGAAGTTTATAGATTTCAAGAAGAATTTAAAGATAGGGCTTAGTAGTGTAGGAAAAATGTACTTGGTATGTGCCATTTTACGAAATGCCTTGACTTGT